TGCTAAAGAGTATAGGAGAGCTGGAAAATTCGTAAATCTCTACAGCACATCAGAGGGGATTTTTAATATTTTTAAGCAGCCTGCAACTTAGAGATGCTATCTTTAACCCATGCTACTATGGAAACCATGCAATCAACAACTGGTTGCTAACTTTTCTGATATCACTAGCTTGACATAAGCAAAGTGGTTAATTAGGGTTATTAAAACTGAACACCAACGAAAACATTAGAGAATTTACCAAATCTGTGCTAAAATGGGGCCTAGAGGTTATAGAAGCCCATAGGGGAAAAAAAAAAAAAAGAAGGAAGAAAAGAGAAGGAACAACTTATCCTCAGTGCCATCTCAAGGCATATCAAGGATAAGAGGGTCATTAGGAACACTCAACATGCTTTTACCAAGGGGAAGTCATGTTTAACCAACCTGATAGCCTTTTATGAGGACATAACCAAGTGGCTAGATGATGGCAGAGCTGTGGATGTGGTTTATCTTGATTTCAGCAAAGCATTTGACACCGTCTACCACAGCATCCTTGCAGCTAAACTGAGGAGGTGTGGTCTGGATGACTGGGTAGTGAGGTGGATTGTGAATTGGTTGAAAGGAAGAAGTCAGAGGTGTGGTCAATGGGACAGAGTCTAGTTGGAGGCCTGTGTATAGTGAAGTCCCTCAGGGGTCGGTACTGGGACCAGTACTATTCAATCTATTCATCAACGACTGGATGAGGGAACAGAGGATGAGGGATGAGTGCACTGTCTGCAAGTTTGCTGATGACACAAAGCTGGGAGGAGTGGCTGACACACCAGAAGGCTGTGCTGCCATCCAGAGAGACCTGGACAGGCTGGAGAGTTGGGTGGGGAAAAACTTAATGAAATGCAACAAGGCCAAGTGTAGGGTGTTGCATCTGTGAAAGAACAACCCTGTGTACCAGTATGGGCTGGGGACAGACCTGTTGGAGAGCAGTGAAGGGGAAAGGGATCTGGGAGTCCTGGTGGACAGCAGGATGACCATGAGCCAGCACTGTGCCCTTGTGGCCAGGAAGGCCAATGGCATCCTGGGGTGCATTAGAAGGGGTGTGGTTAGTAGGTCGAGAGAGGTTCTCCTCCCCCTCTACTCTGCCCTGCTGAGGCCACATCTGGAATATTGTGTCCAGTTCTGGGCCCCAGTTCAAGAAGGACAGGGAACTGCTTGAGAGAGTCCAGCACAGAGCCACCAAGATGATTAAGGGAGTGGAGCATCTCCCTTATGAGGAAAGGCTGAGGGAGCTGGGTCTCTTTAGTTTGGAGAAGAGGAGACTGAGGGGTGACCTCATTGATGTTTATAAATATGTAAAGGGTGAATGTCAGGAAGATGGAGCCAGGCTCTTCTCAGTGACATCCAACAGTAGGACAAGGGGCAATGGGTGCAAGTTGGAACACAGGAGGTTCCATGTAAACATAAGGAAAAACCTTTTCACTGTGAGGGTGCCAGAGCACTGGAACAGGCTGCCCAGAGAGGTTGCGGAGTCTCCATCTCTGGAGACATTCAAAACCCACCTGGAGACGTTCCTGTGTGACCTACTGCAGGTGATCCTGCTCTGGCAGGGGGATTGGACTAGATGATCTTTCGAGGTCCCTTCCAATCCCCAACATTCTGTGATTCTGTGAAAAGTAGAGCCAGGTAAATAAAGGCTTCTATTCTGCACCTTTTATGAGAGTGCACCCAGAAGATAAAGAGAACAAATAAAGGTGGAAATGAAGCATAGATGAAACTGTGACAGCATCCAGTAATGCACTGTGCTCTTTTCCAAAGAATTTTAGACATCAGACATAACATCTTACCATGAATATTACAGTGTTCTCTAATACCACCTAACTAAATCCTTATTTTTAAGCACCCAGATCCATGCTTACTATTTCACCCATGTCAGTGCTGCTGTGTAAAGCCCTTCACTTCTCCCTTGTAAATCATTTAAGTACTTATTCTCATGCTTCAAAAACCTAAGTAAGCCTTTTTGTGCCTTAGCATAAAACAGAACATGGCTGAGACCCGGATCTAAACAGTTTTTTTGTCTTTCTAGTTTCAAGTTCTCTAGGATCAGAATAATCTGGCTATGACTATAAACCAGATTGTTTCTTCTCCTTCAATAATTCATTAAAACCTCTTCTCCATAATAAAGAATGATTTTCTACAATTATAAAATAGTTATTCCTTATGTTTTTAAAATCAGACAGATTTAGGGGAAAACACATGACTTTTCTCATTTGAATACAGATTAGCCTTTTGATGTTATGAAAGCAAGAGCCATGAGCTCAAAAAGAGGTCAACTAATAAAAAAAAAAAATGCCATTGAAATTTTAAAATCTGCTACCTAGTGGGCTTTTTAAAAAATATGGTTCTAAATTAGAAGATACCCCCTTAGAAGCTTAGAATGTTCAGCTTCTACATGCTCTGCTGGGTATTTTTTTAATGCTTTCTTTTAGCTAGACTTGACAATTTACAAAACAATAGCCTATGACAGAACGCCCTTAAATCTATACACACGTGCAACAAATCAGGCCTTGTATTTCTAAAATCTCTGCAACTGCTTACTTAAAATTCCAGAAGTGCAAGTAAAGCATACTCAAAAGCATACTCAAATGCTTCATCAGAGGAAGACTGTCCAAAAGTTAAGATTAAAATCAATTTGGATAACTGATAAAAAAAGGAATTTGGAAAGAAGGTCAAAAAAATGTCCAGAAGGAACGGACCCAGAATCCAAGCAACAACACTGCTCTGTAAAGAAATCGGAAAAAGTTACAAGGAAATTTGAGCAAATAAACAGCTAAAATATCCCAAACCTCACTAAAAGCCTTCTTTTTTCCAAACAGGTAAATAGTCATTTTAACTACCGCCACAGAACTGACGAAATGGTCCTGGTGGCATCACAGGGCACGCACACTAAAGGAAAGAACTTGTTTTTCGGTGGTTCTACAGAAAGAGAAAAATCACCTCATTTAAGGGAATTTGCCAGATGTATTCCTGACCCACAAAAGGTAAGCATGGAGGATGTCCATGACTAGGATCGGCCAACATGTCAGGAGACAGATTTTTCCACTGTGCATTCTGTGATGACAGAAGAGCAAACAAATACTGGAAGCTAGCTGGAAAATGGCATGCAGGGATCACCCATCACTACAGTGCACAGAGGTCTCTCTGCAGAATGTAAAATTAATTCCTAAGCAGGAAATTGGGTGAAACAGCAAATTCTTTCACTTGCAGAGAGTCTTTCAAATAAAATACGTAAAATCTGTAAGGGGATTTATTAGGAATTATTGTTTCATCAACGTGAAGGATTGAAGAATTTTTTTCCCCCATATCTAGCTAATATTACCCAAGGTAACTATGAAAAGCAGTAGTTTCACTGAAGGGAATCACCGTTTGGAAGGGAGAAATAAAGCAACCACTTGTTAGATTTTTAAAAGCACAGAGTACAAGACATACACATACTCAAAAAGTAATGAACCAGCGCATGCGAGCACTGAACTTCCTAGTACGAGTACGCCTTTTAAAACTGTACGTATGCCATTCAGTTTTACTCTGAGTGAGCAAGAAACAGTCAATAAATAACACACACTGTCTCTGCATGCAATAAGTAACATGGAATCTCAAATGAGAACCAGTCATGGTCAACTGGAAGTACAAATTACTTTTGTTAATAGGTGTCCACCTACCACACAAAACACCAACTTGGAACAGTGTGTCATGTGGTAGCAGAGGACAATACAAACATAAGGGTCTCTAAAGCAAAACTTCCACTCAGTCAAACAAAAAAGAACATGCCACGGGGCAGCAGAAAGTTTCCCAGTGTTATAATTAAAAAAAAAAAAATTCCTGAAATATTTTATGGCTATAACTTGGAAGAATCTTTTGAGATACTCTGTTCAAACAAGAACCCCAATATTCATTTTCATATACAGTCATTACTAGTTCACAGCTGAAAAAAAATAGTTTTATAATGTGAGCCTCACAGTTGTTAGTAACAGACTTCCCTCACCTTGCAGAAACAGCCACCAAAGTTTAAGTTATCAACTGGATTTCAGCAGAAACACACACAATGGTGAAATTCCAATTATTAAATCTTTTATTTAGTCAAATAAATAAGAGGTAAATGGCTGTGACTGATTTTCTCGTTTTAAATGCAGGTGTACTGATGCCAGAATTAGAGAAACTCCCATGGGGAAGAGACAAGACAATTCATCTCGTGCAGAACACATTCCACATTTACTTCTCTAGAAATGCACCCTTCTGTATGACAATCTACCAATTTACACTGCAGAACACATTCCACATTTACTTCTCTCACCCTTCTGTATGACAATCTACCAATTTACAAGACATTAGCTATCAGATGTAACATTCATTTGCAAAAGGCTTAGGAGGAGCCTTTTTAATAAGGGAAGTTAAGGAGTTTTTTTAATAAGGGAATTTCAACGTAAATGCTGCTTTCAGTTCTTTAGTAATTCAATGGATTCAGGTGTTAACTTTGTTCCATGCCAGCCATCAGTGACAAAGCTAAAGATTCCACTGTGAACCACGTCATATCTGACTACCTCAGACACATCTCAACAATCCAATAGTTAAAATGAAATATATTGCACACTGTGATCTTGATCCCACTTAAACTGACAAGAGCTACCACTAAATTAGTAAGCATTTGACCATCTAACATGAAAAATATCGGTATTTTATGGTCTGCAATAATCCATTTTGATAAGTTAATCTTGTATTTTCCACATCAGTTTATTTTAACAGTCATAAGTGTTCCTCAAGAGTTCCTAAGAACCATTAAGCAAATAAGATGAACGTTTCTTAGCCTTTTTTCAAAGGAAAAAAAGGCCAAAAATGAACTCAAACAATGTTCTGAATAGTAAGAATTGAGTCACACCACTCCACACTGCCCTGTGACCTACTCTCAGCTGCAAAATGAACGGAAAAAGTAAATCAGCAATTATTCATAATTAAAAAAAAAAAATCCTTTTTAGTATGAAATACATTTTATGTATTTTCAAGTAAGATTGTTTACACAGGATGAATTTTAGACTGTACATGGTTTTTTTTATGTTGAAGCATATACATACAGACAAAAATGCTGCCACAACTAATACATTTAAATACCTGTACATTATTTACATTTTTAAATATTGTACACAGCTCCAAACCATCAGTGTCATTTAGCCATATACATTTCAAACTGGAGTGTAAAATGCTTACAGGTTTTTTTAATAAGGGAATTTCAACGTAAATGCTGCTTTCAGTTCTTTAGTAATTCAATGGATTCAGGTGTTAACTTTGTTCCATGCCAGCCATCAGTGACAAAGCTAAAGATTCCACTGTGAACCAAAACATAAAAAGCAGTTAATACTTGCATTTGCAGCAGTCTATTGCAATGTTCAACTCTGTAGTTTAAAAGGAAGATACTACCTTATTTTTTAAATTGTAACACTTCGGGATTTAAAGCTGTAAGTCATTTTATGAATCTCTTGACAGTTTAGAGAATATTTAACCACTTTCATCATCAGTTATCCATTAGTTATTTCAGGTGGTAAGAACTGGTAAGAAATTATCTCCTTTATTTGAAATACTAACTGTTTTAGTTAGAAAAAAATGAATAAATGTTGTGGGGGGTTATATGCAGTAAGCCACTCTCACAGACAGTGCTTGTAGACTGTAGAGTAGCAGTAATGTCAGATACTACCTCTTTTAGAAACCCATTAGAACATGCATCTGCATCCCAATTAACCCCATTCAGCAGGTGCCCCTCCAACTCAAACTGGCACTGATTAGCAACTGAAGCTAGTTATCAGGCTGCAAGTAGAAGCACAGACATGTTGTCTTTCGCTGTTTCTGCTACAGAGGAAGTAACTTCCAACAGATGGACAGAGCCAAGAGATCGGTGCAGCTGCAGCTCAGGCACCCAAATACTAAACTTTTATCTGTTCAAGATACATCACAGCTGTCATCCAACAGAACCAAAAAGAATGCTCTTCTATGTCCTCCAGAACATAGTTTCATTCGTTTAGAAAACTGCTTGTCACTTGCTTGGCTACATCAGCATCCCCTCATAAAGAAAACAGGTAAACTGAAGACAGCTGTCATAAAAAAACATGGCACAAATACTCTAAAAAAATAATAAAGTTAACTTATGAAGAAGTAAGGCTTCATGCCCCCCTGTGAATACCTCACAAAACGAGATTCCTTAAGATGTACTGACAAACATTAAAACAGAATAAAACATAAATACATTCCTAGTAAAGCTTGTGTGTTAAGTGCAGGTATGTGAAAAGCCTCATGTACTTACGGTGAGGAAAAGAGCCTCGACAGACAGCTTTGTTGAGAACAGTTACAAGAAACATGTGACAGTTTTTAAAATCAGATTCCATCTTCTCTATGGATTCCATCCTACAAAATAGTTTAGAAGAATGCTTAACAGACTGGCCACTAGGTTATCTTCAAAATATGATCAAAACTTCATAATAAGTGATCAAAGTACTCTTTGCATAGCATTCTGGCTTGAACTTAACAATATTTTAGTTATGCCCCTGTGTACCACTTGTAAAAAACAAAGACAATTTTGACAGGAGCATCTGAGCACTATCACAATGGCATTAATAATTTCCTCCTCATATTAGAAATCTTTGCAGTAACTAGGAGGAACTGTGCTTCCAACTGACAACTATTACTCCTATGTAGCTTTGTATTTCAAGACAGCCATTCCTGGTCCGTATTGCTTCAGAGCTCCTTGGGGCAAACCTACACTGACAAATAAAAGAGGGAGACCCACACTGCTTTGCTTTCAGCCAGCTCTTGAATTCCACTTTGAACTATGCCAGCTCACCAGAAGAGAGAGAAGATGTAGTTCACAACAGTCACTCCTTTCTCTCAAGAGGATATGGATGACACCACATCAGCTATGACTTTTTCCTGACACATCCAAGAGCACATAACCACATGCCCTGAGTTTCAGTCTTTATCAACAGCCTTCACAAATTCTTTCTGACACTTCAAATTGGAAAAGCACTCCAAAAATAGCAACTTCCAAAAAGCACAGGAGCATGGGACCCAAGTTCTAGGTCTGTGTCAAGGAGGATTAGTCCTGAAAAATATGGATATGAGCTAGTCCACACCAGCTGGCCTCAGGGCCACAGACCATTCCTTGAGTGTTAGACATGGCATTGGAGACTTGCCCACTATCATTCAACCTTTAAGCAAAAGTATAAGCTGTGAGAGGAGTGGCTGGAGAGTGGCCCTGCAGAAAGGGATCTGGGGGTGCTGGTCGGCAGCAGGCTCAGTGTGAGTCAGGGCTGTGCCTTGGCAGCCAAGAGGGCAAACCTCATCCTGGGGCACATCAAACACAGCGTAACCAGCTGGATAAAAGAGGTGACTGTCCTGCTGTATTCAGTGTTGGTGCGGCCTCACCCTGAGTGCTGTGTGCAGTTCTGGGCCCCACCATTTAAGAAGGATGCTAAAGGCCCTTGAATGCCTTCAGAGGAAGACAACAAACCTGGTGAAAGGACTGGAAGGCATGTCCTGTGAGGAGCGGCTGAGGACTTTGGGGTTGTCTAGTTCAGAGAAAAGGAGGCTGAGGGTCGTCCTCATTGCTCGCTGCAGCTTCCGGAGGAGGGGATGTGGAGAGGGAGGTGCTGAGCTCTTCTCCCTGGGATCCAGTGACAGGACATGTGGGAATGGCCCAAAGCTGCACCAGGGGAGGGTTAGACTGGCTGTTAGGAAGCATTTCTTTACCAAGAGTGTGGTGAAACACTGGAACAGGCTTCCTACAGTGGTGGCTGATGCCCTGAGCCTGTCAGTGTTTAGGAGGCATTTGGACAATGCCCTTAATGACACACTTTAACTTTTGGTCAGCCCTGAAGTGGTCAGGCAGTGGGACTAGATGATCGCTGTAGGTCCCTTCCAACTGACACAGTCTATTCTATTCTAAAAGAAAATCAGATCATATTTTTAATCTTGTCTAAGGGATGGTTTAGAGAACAAATGATTCATAGATCAATACATTAATCGCATACAAGTGGGTTTCTAACTTCTAGCATAACACATAAGAAAGCACACATCTTTTCTAAAAATCCCAACTACAGCAACCCACCCCAGCTTGCTGCTACAGAAAAGGTACTATAGGAAAGGACAGATCAAAAATAACGTCAGGATTTGAACTAATGGAATCAAACATTCTGTATGAAAATCTTGACTCCAAAGTCAATGGCAGAACTTTCAATGACTTCAACAGCTTCACATTTTTACCACAAATATTTTACAAAGGCTTTATAATTTTGACAGTCCAGATCAGAAAAATAAGCAGGGTTAGAGATTAGATTTAGATTACTATTTTAAAAAAAACCAAACAACAAAAATGTATTCCCTTCTAGAACGAAGGCCAAGCTAAATAATCCCACTTTTCATAAACCAATTAATGAACGTTAGCATCTGGCTGCCTACAATTTTAAACCACAGCCAGGAAACATGATCATAAACCAAACCTGCGAACCTCTCATTTTATCATTATGAACAACCGTGAAGGAAAAGAAAATCCTCTTTGTTGCTATGTTCTACAATCTTTTCAAACACTTAGAAGTTATATATTGGTCAACTTTTTAATTAGAAAATACTGAACATACACTGACACAGGTGCAGGAAACTTGTTAAGTTCTATCTAAAAGAAATTTCACTTTCCTTAAGAAATAGCAATTAGCCTCAGGTATCTGCTGTTAAACACTGTGCCAAGTCCTGTTATTTCACACAAAAAATATCTCAAAATCATATTCTGAGCTGTGAAATTATGACCATGTAGAATTTTAGATACGTGTACTTACTTCCAAGCCCCTAAACCAGCCTGCCAACGGTCTGCAAACATCAGTACTAAATTTAACACTTTCATTATAGCTTCTTTCACAAAGCTCACCTAAAATAACAAAACAAAAGAAGTAACAGTCAGAAATTAATTGTTAAGCAGAATAATTTTCACTATTATGCTGCAATACAAAGGCATCTCATGGCATTTAATCTGATATGTAAAACCAGCCTCCTAAGTACAGTGTGATTCTTCCAAATTTAAGACGGGTTTTGTATTTGCTCTCTTAATTCATTTCATGGCTGACTATTTCAATGAGGACTAAGCACAGACAGGATGTGGGATACAAGGCTACAATCCATGTACCTCCACTTCTTGCCACACCAGTATGTATAATCCTCATTATATTACCAAGCCTCAGTCTGTTCAAATCCTCCCATCTCTTAGAAACAAATATGTCATGTAAAATCTAATATAAAGAATTTAATTTTATCTTCTCATCTTGACAGAACTGAGCTGAGACTTGCAAGGGAAACTGGATCTGTGTTAACTCTGCAAAAGCTACCATTTCCTCAAGAGGACCTATATATCGCTTAGTATGTATGAACTGCAAAATAAGACAGCATAATTAGTACTAAACTATTTTCTCATCCTGCTAAACTCATTATATCAAATATGCCAATTTTTTACCCACCTTTTCTCTCAGTAGACAGCGATCATGGATTGTAGATAGATACCTGTAATGAATCTTTATCAATTGATCTAAATCTTTGGCTTCTTCTACCTGATGCTGAAACTCCAAGCCTGTACTATGAAGAATCTTAAAGAGAAGACCACAGTTATTAAATTCCATGTGGGACACAAGTGCTTATGACTCTCTTCCAATATTTTTTTTTTAAGAGCTTAAAATTGCCTGGTTCATTCACTCTCCCCTCTCAAATTCTAGGCTCACTCTCCAAATTACCATCAATGCAGCAAAAAAAATGGAGCTTGTCTCATAACCGCACAATGACATTCCTCATATATACACGAATACTGCCATTGCACAAGGGCAGACAGACTATCCCTGGAGGAGCTGATCTGGAGTGTATTAATTTTAATTAATATTAAAATTTAATCTTTTAATTAATATTTTAAAAAGGCAATAGTAGGGCAGCTATGCATCTACAGGCATTGCATTTATATTTGGGAAGTCATGTATATATTTCTGGATCTCTGTACTAGAGATTTTTGAGAAGGATCCACTTAACTAAAATGTCTGTAGTAACACTTCTACAAGCATAACATCTCTTAAGAGGGTAACAGCTTACAGAAGCCTATTTGTACATGATTGTGCTTCAGTCATCTGGCACTGGGAGAAGCAGTCAAAAAGAACTAATGATATCCAAAGGTCAATCATATGCATGTAGAACTTTTACAGCATTTTTAGAATTACTGATTTGAAACTGCCAAGTTAAAACCGAAACATTTTTATCTCAAAATAATTTTGCAGAAAGGACTAAGAATTTGCTTTTTTTCTTTTATGTTTTAAATGAAAAATAATATGGCATCTCCAGTTACAAGTTCTTAACATAAATGAAATGGTGATATAAGACAAACCCTAGTCATGATGTAGTTGTGCAGGCTGTTAACAAAATGCATAAGTTTCACTCTTAAGAGGAACATGCGATGTATTTGTTGTTTTATACTTTCTGTTTGAGGTCCAAATAGAGGAAGCGTTCCTTGTTCTAGTGAAGGTCCGTCCTTAGCATGTGGGCTTTCTGCAGCACAGACTAGCTCTAAAAAGAAAAGGCAAGAGTATTATATGGAAGTGCTTACGAAGACGAACTGTAGCTAAAGTGTTACTTAAAACTGAAATGCCTATTATTACATCTGCACACAATACTGATGTAACATTTTTCTTGCAATTCAGACGTTACTAAGATATAGCAACAGTATACTGAAGTTTGATGGTATATGTACAATGCAATTTGATAAATACTAGAATAGTAAATGCTATTTAAGAGCTAAAGATTATGTGAAAGGATTAAAAAAAAAAATCTACATTGAAAGTAAAATGTGTATACTGTCTCCACAAAAGGGAAAAGACTTAAGAACTAAGCCACACCCATAAAGTTTAAACAATACAAAAACACATACTTTTAGGAAGATAATTACTTAACTGATGTACAAAACATAGATGATCCCATCAACATTCTAATTTATTTTTCTAGGACATGAAGTGTGTATCCACTTTATATGGGACAGGAAGAGTATAAACATTATCCTGGCGAAGGAGACACTAAGAGATCTCTTTCTACAGTCCCCAAATATTTAACTATTTTAATCTCAGAGTATTTTTTCATCTTTTCTTAACTTTTTTGCAAGGTACTACTCATAAAAACTTGGACTATACATAAAGCAAATTATTAGGGTGTGGTAGACAGACCTTCTTTCAACAGCAAGGTCTGAAGAATGAAGTAACAAGTTTCCAGTATAAGTAACTAGACCTGAATCAAAGAGACAAAGGGAATGCATGAATAGTGTTCTCCCTGACGCTGAAAAGAAGTGAAAAACATGCTCTGCTTAAAAGATCTAATTTGTGAAGCTAATAGAGGTTAACACTTTATAGAATTAATCAAAATTCTGACTGTTTTATACTACTTAACTGCAGAAAGCAGCAGACTATTTATATCCTTAGACCATAGAACAAGTTTTCAGAGTAACTTTGATTGAAGAAGTTTCTTACCATCAAATCGTAAAACATCTAGACTATATTTGGCCCACTTTATTTGCAGTAAGAGCAGAAAAACTTGACTGTAAATTTTCTGGCATTCTAAGCTTATAACTATATCCACAGGCCAAGGAACCTAAGAAGAGGAGAGAACAATCAAGACAGAAAATGTAAGTCACTTTAATACAACATTTCAAATCCGTTCTAGAATAACAGCAGTATTAACTCACTACCTTGTAACTCAATGTCAAACCATCTAAGGTGTGGACAGGGAGTTTCTTCTTTGCTGTATCAACACTTTCAAATGATATAGACAACCTATACAAGGAAACAAATTATTTAATTGGTGATAATCTGTTTTAAATTAGCAGTTAGTTTAATTATTTTTTTTTTTAATTTCTTATTGCTAAATACCAACTGTCTGATTTAATCTGGTGGACTTGTGTAGAAGAGATGACAACAGCTCAAAACTTCATTAAAACAGATTCTTGTAATCAGCATGCAGTAATTAGTATTGCACTATGCAAGTTAAGTACATTAGTACAGGTAAGTGTGAAAGAAACATAACTAAACTATACTTCACAGGATTTTGCATTTTACCTTGAACTGTCCTCTGGATAGCGTTGCCCAACTGCTTCTTGAAGTTGAATATTTAAGAAGGCAACATTCTGCCAAGTTTCCTTTTCTCTTATTTTGTCAAAAATAGATGTATAGAAGTCATACATGGTATCTCCAGCTTCAAGTAAGAAAAAGTTTCTCATTGCCTGCAAATATTCTACAAGCCTAAACAGGGAACAAACGTGTCATTTCTTCAGTCTTAACCATAGAAGCGAAATCAAACACAACTTACTGACGCAAAAATCTTTTAAAATCTCTTCACTACAACAGCTCAGTATTGAACACAAACTTAATGAAGTCCACAGTAAATGCTTTGCTTAATCCTCAGACAGCCTTCACATATGTTCAAATAAAACAAATAGCCAAGTCATTTTTTCCTGTAAGCCTGAACAGCCCTACTAACTTCAACAGAAATACTCGTGGTTTTCAGCCGTCTTACAGGCGAGGCAATTTTCAAAAATAGCTTAGACTTTGGAAATGCTGTCCTTCTCCCTAATCAGAACTTGGAGGAGGAGATGCAATTTCAGTGAGAGTTCTGTCCAAAAGTGACTTTAATATGGAGCCCCAGAAAATTATGATATGGATTTTTCTTTTCAGATAAAGTAGGAAGAAGAATAGTACCGCTACAACTCTCACAAGAACCATGACTTAATGTATTTAACACATTCAGTATTTCAGACAGATTAAATGCATGATGACTTATGACCACCTGAAAGGTAAAAGGAATAGCCCATTTTACTCTAAGGAATATAAAAATACTGCATAATATTATTTAGTCTGATTTTATAGTACCATAACTGAACCTCATATTAAAAAAAGATATTCTGGCTTCCAAAAATTTGTCTTCCAGTTCCAAATGACACTATTAAAAGTACTGTTTGAAACAATTTTGAACGTCCACTGAAGAGAAATTGTAGCTTTGCTGTTGATTTAAGTCTGACCAAGTCTTCACTGAGGATTCTATCACATTAGATACCCCTCTCCTCCTCAGTGATTTTATTGCTAATTATCAAATTGGAGTAGAAACACAACATAAAATTTCTGCTTTTATTGTACAGCATACCACTGGTAATTAATAAAAAATATAGGAAAAACAAATCTACTTTCTTACCTATAATCCTTCTTTAAAGTTTGCATTAGATTACCACAGCATTCCAAGTATTGCTTGTCTATGTGTGGATAAAGGCAAGACCTCAATGTCAGTTCAAAAGTTTGGCAGGTCACTGATTCTGAGGATCTATCCACACAAACATCCCCACCAGTAAACTTCTCATGGAAGTCACTCTGTTCCAAATATAATCTTAAAAATAAAACAAAATACTTAGGGGTTAAGGTTCACATTTCATACAATATATAAAACAAAAATGTCATACCTTCAAAGCTTTTAATCAAAATTGGATCCTCTGCTTGAAAATGTATGGTGCAGAAGTAAATAAAGCTGTTTCATAACAATAGTACACATCAAGCCTATTAAGTGATCCTTCATACTATTTTTGCATGAACAGGCATAAGAGTATCAAAAAGGATAGCATACTGTAATCACATAATTGCTCAAGGAATATTTTTGAACAAACAACATCAAGTTGAAACACTATACAGCTCAATAAGCAAACCAATTATCATAGGAGCTTTTAAAACTATGGTGTGCACACACAGCAGTCAGATGAACTTCACAGAAAAGAAAAATAAAATTAAAGAAACAAAGTAAAAATTTGAACAACAAAAGTAGCAAAACCCAACAACAACAAAACAACAAACAAACAAAACACCTCACCACCACACACACAGAGAATTGGTTTGAGGTGCCTTAAATATGGGGTCCCTATATATTATCTGTAATATTATATCATGGAAAGAGAGTATCTGCAGTCTATACTTGCTACATTTAATTATTTTGTCATGAAAGGATCAAATTATCATAATAGTCTGTAAAAAGCCACTTGCTAGCTGAATCCATCCTAAGAGGAAGTCCGGCTCATAGCAGCTATCGCCTTGAAAGGCTGGATGAGACAGACATGGAATTAATCTATCAATTTTGATAAACAGAATAGTCCCAAGGAACAAGGGCAGTAATAGAGACTTATCTACTACCAATTATGATTTCTTTAAAACACATTCCTCCTAGGACTGAAATGAAAACATGTAAATCACCAGCTAGTATTTAGGAAAAAGATAAATAGCTATTTCTTATTTGTAATCACAAAATAAGTTTAAGATTTTCAGAGTTCATCTTTCCTGCTAATTTCCAAGACATTTATAACCTCTATATGACTTCCCTCATTAAGAAGAATGAAGATTTTCTACGCAATTAACATGAATTTTGGAAGGCTTTTAAAGTTAAATTATTTAAGCACGGCACAACTGCAGCTGCATTCTTCAAAGAACACATTTGGAGCAAATCAGCGACATTGTATTCCAAGCAAATACATTTAAAAGTTTGGATTTTACAACAGCATTCACTATTAAAACACTTATTTGCCAAAAGCCTGTTATGATAAAGACTAATCCCATCTTCTACACGTACAGATGTGAGTAGCAGATTCTTCACTGATTTTAATTGCTTTCCTTTAACTAAGCACAAGAGTAGTATTTACTCAGCTTTTGTCACCCATTGTTGGTGCTCCTCTTTATCCTGTACTCCCTTGTTTTCAGCAGCAATAAAAATCTGGCCTACCAAATGTCACCAAGCAGAACATTGTTGTCAACAACACAGCGGGAAGATGATTCATTTACCTGGCAAAATTAATAGCCAGCAGCGGGTCATGGACGTCATCCAGTTCCAAGTGTCTTTCTGCTATAGACTGCATCTTTATCAGGCTCTGCTTGGTGGCCTGCTGTTCTGTAATAATATCTGGAACAGACTCTTCCCCATGCCGCAGGCGAGACTGCACCGACTCCAAGAACAGCGTATACAAACTCTTTCGTTCAGCATCTAAATTGGGCAACACATTCCACAGTAAGATTTTGTTCTAAGAGAAAATACAATCTGAATTCCAAAAACACCTCCATACTCCAACACTTACTTGATAAGTTTAACATACTAAATTTAGGCCACTATTCAGGGAAATACTCAAATACATATTTAACTAAGTATTGCTAACACTGCAGGACTAGTCCAATGCCTGAAGTCAAGCCTATGTTCAAATGGATTGCTGAATGGGTGGCTGAAACGTTTCTGAGAGTGTTTGAGAACTTTCTCCTTCATGTGCAAAGGCAATTAATTGAGCACCTGAAACAACGCTGCAGTATTCACTAGAACAGATTGTATTCTCACACCAAAGTGGGAAATAAGCCTAAAGAGTCTCCAAAATAATTTACCTATCTCTACTTCTAAACATCAAGAAACAGCAAAACAAAAACATTATTTTGTTTCAAAAAACCAAAACAAAACAAAAAACAACACTGGTTACACTGTTGTATTGTTTTACAATCACTCAAGATAAACAACCTAAATATCTTCCATCTAATTACTAGTAAGCTTTTTCTTTAAAAAAAAAAAAAAAAAGTTCCACACGCTATCTCAGAATTATTCAACCACTTAGTAAACAACTATTTATTAAAACAGCTTTACTATTGGAACATACAAGCTGGTTTTGTTCGTCTAACAAAAAATCAAATATTTTGCAAGCACATGAAAATGACTTTAAGAAAAATTTAAAGAAAGAAAAAGCAAAGGGAACACTCAGTCTTCATTCACTTTGCTCTTTTCACTTATTTGCACCGGAAGAGTGTTTTCAATCAGATCTGAAGTTAACAACCACGATACTGACATTCAACAGGGAGTGTGGCACTATTCTAAATCCATAGAAACCAAAAAACACATCCATACTGTTAGATACCATTAAGGCATGATGGTCCACAAACTGATGCCTCACCTCTTGAGGCAGCTTGCTGTGGAGAGCCATCTTTGCACTGAAGATTCTTCAACAGCTGCATGGATTTTCCAGCCATGATGATTTGCTTTAGCACAGGTTTCAGAAAAGAGACCATAGTGTGTTGCCTGCTTGAAGGTGCCTGATCACTGCCAGAACTGGCACTGGCATTATCACTCATCTTCTCTTCATTCTCCGTCTTCTCTGACACACTATATAATGTGTAGGTAGCATACCAAAAATCCCTGTGATTAACTGGAACATTTTTGTTTCTGTGAAGAAATTAAAAGCTGTTGAGTATTTCCCTTTTCAAAAGATGAAATTTCCATACTAGAAGACACATATCATCTTTGCTCTATGCTTTGCCTTCCTTTTACGACAGTGAAGAAACACTTTCAAAACTATAAAAAATAAACTCATCTGTATCGTAAACTATCTAGACACCTCAGAAAGGATGATAGCTTTATAAAGGATAAAGAATCAGCTTGCAGGAGATAAAAACAACCGTGTAACTAAATAAGCCCCCAAAACAAGGCAAATAGAGTACTTATAATTAAATTTGCCCAGGAAGTTAACTATTCAGAGAGCCATTCGTCCTTAATAACAAAATGATTAGTGACTGACTTGCAGATTTATTTAATATGCACAACGAAGCAAATACCACTTGTAAAGCTGAAAAATTCTAGGTGAAACTCAATTCTTAGTTCACTTTGCTCTTTTGTCCTATTTAGATCAGATACACAGTCTGGTCTTTGAAGTCAGATGGAAAACAACCTCTATTACGTAATTAAAATGAAGCTCAAACGTAAGTTGAAATCACTTCTGTTGGCAGCACTGAAAACAAAACTACAGAACCACAGAAACAAAAGTCAAACAGGACACAATAAGGACATTAGAGATCTCAGCTAATAAGGATAATATTACAGTAGTACTAAAGCTGTTCTGTTCATGCTCATCCTTAGCTGCCTTAACAAACAGAGGTTCAGTTAATTATGACAGATAAGGGGGCAACTGATCTGTAATTAGGAACCAAAATTCTAAGCTCTATATTCACTTTCCACTTCAAGCTGTAGTGACCAGCAAAATGTAACACACAAACAGAAGAAAAATTAACAGCTCAAGTAACGTTTAGGATACATGCATGTAATTTAAGACACCATATTAACTTGTACTACAGGTCAGAAGCAGTGTGTACTTCAGTTCTAAATAGCATTTGATTTATAACAAACATACATTAGTGAAAGAATAAAAAAGTAAATTTTGTCATTTTTGCAAACATCTTGATTTTGAAAAATGGTTAATTGCTTTTTATAAAAAGTCAATACACTCAGAGTCAGACTGATGATTATTTACTATAGATGCAAAAATTTAAAAAATTTATTTCTGTTACAGAACAATACCTGTTAGGACTCTGTATCTAATGCAGTTACCCTAATGGGGAGCCTCAGACAAGTCATAAAAGTATGATTAAGAAATTAATTCTACATAAGTAAATTAACAAACATGAAAACCCACTTTTATTGTCACCCTTCACTTCCTAGGTTCTATAGCAGGTTTTGTATTCATACTAGCACAGTGTCATATGTGTCCAGTATTAGCATCCCTACCTCTGAATGATAAATTCCTTTGCAGGATCAAACAAATTACCATGGACTATCCACTCATCCACTGTCTGTAAGTATGGCCTCACAGTTTCAACCCAGAGAGAGAACAGAAGGGATACCTGAATTTAAAGAAAGGAAAAAAAAAAGTGGCTCAATGTTTTTATAGTAAGCATTAGAAGCAATATGGCAAAGCCTAACCTCTTACTTGTGCAATTATAATTTATAAGATAAACATAAATACATTTAGGGATTTTTTAAGATGACATGTTTAATTAAAAATTACAGCTTTATTAGTTTTAATGGAAGCAATCATTGTGCATGCTTCCCTATGTTACTTTTTGTCATCACAGCTAGACCTAAACAGCACTCTAATTCTCTTAAGCAGTAAGTGATAGCCATAAAACATTCTGTGACTTTATAACATAGAAAAGAGGAAAACAAAAGGACATCTACTATATTTTCACAAGCATAAACAACAAGTTACTGTAAAAACCCAAAACCCTACATTTTAGCACAAACTGAATTATACAGCTGTAGAAATAGGAGGGAAAGCCATTTCAAAGCTCCCTCTTCCATAACAGCTTCCTGGCCTCTGACTCCCCACAGTTCCTCCCCTCAGTCCTAAAAACACAGTGCTGCTGATCTCATAAATCTGATTTTGTCCAGGTTGAGTGAATTCATGTCAGAAAACAGTAATGTATTATGGCTATCAAATTTGTCCTCAATCCTTGGTAGCTGAAGGCAAGTGTACTCCATCACCATAGAGAAATTTAAGGTACTAAATATTCTAGTGTGTCATTCTGTTAAGGAAAGAATGACTTTCACTAACGTTTGCTCAGATGCTTCTCCAACACTGTCATATTCAAGAATAGCTTTGTAGAGAGTATTAAGCAGATGAGATGCTCGTACAACATTTCTAGTGTCAGGTGGCACTTCTGCTACTCCTGTGCTGAAAACTTTGTGAAGTACCTTCAGCTGTGCCAGCCGGGGAGCCAACTTATCTATTACTATTGAAAGTGTGACTGTTTTATCTGGAAAAAAATAAAAACATGTTATTAATGAGGTTTTAAAATGCAGCATGGCATCTTTCACAGTTTCAAAATGTATCTGCATAATGTTTTGCATGTTTCTCTTATAAAAACTTACTTGTGTGCCCCCCTCCTGTAAAATTTCCCTGGCACTGTACCTTTGTTGATTATGCATTTTTCAATTTCAGTAAGTTCCTCTTTAAAGCTAATGAAATATTTATATAAGGCCCACATAAAAGCTTGATAGGTTCTGAATGGGGCTTCAGTAGTTTTCTTTGGAGTGGAAACAGTTCCATGGATTATGTTTTCTGGGCTGTGTCCCATCACTTCATCAATAAACTTCTGCAGTCTAAACACAACTTGACCATATGCTGCTATCTGCTCCAATACAGATCTCAGGCAATTCTAGGGAAAAAAGAAAGACAACTTTTTAGACTCATCTAATAAAAATTTATATTTTATAAAGCCTAAAAATTAAATCACAAGATATTTCTGTGAATTAAAAATTAATAAAATTCTGCCATCTCTATCACTTCATCACATTCTCACATATGGGAACAGCCCATTCAGTTTTATTAGGTCAGATGTGTTTTGATTAAATTAAGAACAACTGTGGAAATTCAGAAACAACTTACATGGGTTAAATGAGTTACAATAATATCATTCCGCACAGCCACTTTTCCGTCGTTCAGCTGAAATATAAAAAGCTTTTTCACTCCTGAAAGTAGCCTTGAAAAGAAACAGAGATAGTAGTAATTTTTCCCCCTTAATGGAATCATAATTATATAATTAATCCCTTGCCTTAAAGTTTCTTTTTTTCAAATAAAAGGGGACCACAGATCAACTACGATGCTAGTGGTACTGTAAGTTGTTGCTATAACAAGAACAATAAAACACTGGCATCAAGCAAGCATCTCCTTAAGTTCCCTTACAGCTGAGATAATTTCCAGTTATAGGATGATTCAAACCTACTTTCTAAAATTGGACACTGTATTATAAATCCATGGGACAGGATTCAAACAAATTGGTTCTTCTTAACAGTTAGACTTGAAGAATCAACGCATACGAGCAGCAGTAAGCTACTTTCTTCTTTGTGAATCTGAATGGTTAACACACATCTGCAGCATCTTTATTGCCAGCAATGGTGCAAGCTAAAAGCTCGATAATAATTCTTTCTTCAGACACAACTTCAAAGATAAATCTCTCATTTCCTCGAGAGAAACACTTAATGTTAAGATGGGAGCTTTTTGATGTTGTTCTTACCAAAGAGTTTCCCGTATAACCTGAGTTTCAGTGACTAGTGTTCTCTCTTCTGGCACATATAAAGGATCACTAGTGTACAAGTGGTGGTCCCTTAGAAAAAAGGAAATTAAAACAATTTAATGGCTGAAATAACCGCTGAATCACCTGAAAGTAAGCCGGAAGCAATAATCTTTGTTCTATTTATATCTGAGTAGATTCAAGGTTCGCGAGGCATTTTAAGTATACAAACAAAAGCAGAGTCTGTTTTCATACTGCTAAGCAAAATACTATGGAAAGCATTCAAATATCATCCAGCTGTATATAGCAAGACAAGCAATTCAGCAGCAAATACATGAAGTGCTGAATCTGGGTTGGTTTGGGTTTTGTGTTGCTTGTTTGTTTTTAAATTCTTTACACTTGATTAATTTCACACTCGATGCTGTGAAAACTTATAGTTACTTTCTGTTAAAAATACTAAGCTAAAAAGTAAAATACTAGTTTCCTTAACCCATATAAGAAAATTCATACTTTAGCCCAGAAGTTTACTTAAGAAATGGACACTTTCACAGCCACCTAAGAACTTTCTCTTATGACCCTGTGTTATACCATTCTTCATAAACCTTCCATGCTGTTTTTCATGTTATAGTGAAGTACGGAACAATTAGTTGCATTATTAATATTTTGACTCATTAATATAATCAGTGATAAATTTTATGTATCTATGTTCAAAATTCAAAAATCCAAATTAAGTAATACTGGTTATATATAATACATATATATAACATACATCTGCTAATGACATTGAAAAAAAATGGTGCTGCTTTATTTATGTCACAGATCTCCTAATATTCACTGTAACTTTTGGTACATAACTGCATAGATAACCAACTGACACTAAAATAAATTCAACTCCTTGATTAAAAAATTAATTAAATTAAGGAACCAAAGTCTCATGATCTGTATTACTGCAGTAGCAGTACTGATACATCATCATTTGAGACAGAGGGAAGAATCAGGCTTTTTTTTTTTTTTTTTAAGTGAACTTCCTTCTCATTTTCTTTCTCAAACCATAGCAGATCACAATGATGTACTGTTTTATGTTCCTTCCCCACACAAAATCTGTGTTTAAGACTAACTTTGTAAAGGTAGGGACCAAAACCAAACAAAAAGTTAAGCTTTAGGAACTCCTCATTTCCAGGCCCACTTACAATGCACCCATATTAGTTCCTCAGAGATTCGTAAGGGTCAACCCAAACAAAACTCAACAAGATTTGCTTATTTGAAAAAGAAAAGCATAATAAAAACTAAAAAAACCAAAAGGAGAATAATCTACCAATAGAAAAAACAGCTCATTTGTTCATCTTATTAAATCATACTCCTTTAATTCTTTTTTTAACTAAATCAGAAATAACTATACTACCTTTAGGCTTAATAAAGTCATTATTTAGCACTATATGCCAGTAAGGAATATCTAAGTGATCCCGTGTTCTTACCAGACTGCAGCCAGGTTGGAATGCAAGTGCAAACTATGTGAAAAGCGAGGAGCTCTTCCTGTCCAGTACTGAGGAACTACATGCTGCTCCAGCCAGCTGCGGGCATCAGGTTCACCCACTGTGGAAACACATGACCGTCTGTGAAGTAATTTTATCTATTCAGGAAATGCTTATAAAACACAGGAAAAAGTTGTTAATAAGCCTATCCATGCAGCTGCAGAATCACAGACCTTTTCAAACAAGTTACAACTTACAAATATTTACACTTTACTGTGCTCACATACATGATATCATCATGCACAAATTCATTCACACAGAAAAGCCTCATCTCCTAAAATATGCACAAGTTTTAAAAACAAAACAAAACTTGGGAGATTTATGTAGTTTCCAATTCTTCCTCAGAAAATGTGCTTCTGTCTCAGACTCAAACGATATATACAAAACCAAGCTGACTTAAAAAATACACTTTCAACTATCACCAACTTCGTCACTATGCTCTTTTTCATTCAGTAAATTACCTAAAAATGATTTTTTCTTAAATGTGATTATCAAGAAAACTTTACCTAACCACAGTTAAACAGCTATTGTTTATACAACGAGTATTATGCAGTCTTCTTATCCTGTATCCTATAACATTCTATGCAAAAATATAGAGTAAATACTCGCTGAAGCTATTCAAGAGTAAGCCACTAGTGTTCTAATCGTATTAAACTATTTTTTTTTCCAAAAATTTCATACCCAGAGTCAATGGTTTCTGTTGTCAACCAAATTTTGTTTCAGCATTCTGATACTTAATAATAAAAATTTACATTATATCCATACAGCCACATGCTACCTTTACTGTACAATTTTTCATTTCTATATTGGAATATCCTTGTGTGGTTCTACAGAAAAAAATTGAATTCTTCTCCAATAGCAACAACAGAAATCAGATCAAACCTTCCATATTGCTTCTTTACTGTTAAAAATAAAACAAGCAGGAGTGAACAATAAGGTGCACTTTAAAACTACAATCATAGGCCTAAAATATAATACATCACTAAAGAATAATCAATAAAGCTGCATTAGCTTGCTAAATTTCAGTATGTGTAACAGAAGAATCATAATTTATTCTAACCTTTCCAGGAAACATTAGGTACTGTTTTCTTATTTGGATCTTGGTCTTCTAAAGGTGTTCTGTCTACCTGAATACCCGAGTCCTCCCTGCTCAAAGGCTGAGTGTCTTCCTCCTCTTCACTTTCTCCAGACCAATCCTGTAAAGTGCAACAAAATCCAGTACACTTCAGTACGACATAGCAGATAGATCCATATTCATTTTCTATTCAAGTCAAACATAAACTGTTCTCTTCTTTTTTCCACTATAAAGTAAATTCAGGACACTACGATTAACATAACTGTCTACACTAATAATCAGACAAATGCGAGAACTGGAAAAGATCAGAGAACTACAATAAGTTCTGATTAGGAGCAGGCAGGGTGGTCAGCACAAGGAACCAGTTTAGTTGTAGGACTACATCAAAACATGGTGAGCAACAATTGTATTACTGTTTCTCTGTTTGGGTCTGTGTGTATTTCATGGCATTAAGTAAGAAGTAATGTATTAGGGAATCCTGCAAGAATCAACATGCACAGTATACAAAGCAGAACAACTCAACCAGGTCTCTAACATACTTCAAACCAGTGTATACAGTTTGTAGGTTTTTTTTACCTTAAGAAATTACTTACTGGTGTATCTATGCCAGGGCCAAAGTAAATTTCTTCTCCTTCCATCAAATACTTTCCCCAATCAAATTCTTCTTCCTTTTCTAAGAGAAATATAAATATAAAAATAGTCAGTATTGCATAACTGACTTTCTTTTCCTCTAAAAGCATTTCCAAAGCTAAAATTATCTTGTTACTCTAAATCTAAACCAAAAGGCATTCCCTTCCACTTAAGGTTACACCGCTGTTTCTTTAACAAGGTTATACACTTTCAACATGACATGTAGATTGTGATATATCAACCACATATATTCCTTATTTATTAATTCTCAGTTTTGTTGCTTATACATTCAAAATACGCAACATAATGTGCCATCAGCATATTTATCTGTAGCATGTTACACTACCCTACACTTCAGTCCTGGAAAAACATGCAAGAATGCAACGTATCACTTATTGTGACTAGTTCCGTTTAGCTGGGTGGAAACATTCTAAATGTATCATTCACATATGCACAAAGATCCCGGACTGCAGACAACATAAAGCAAAAACTGTCTTACTCTCCAAAAAAGACACCACATATCCATGATGTGATGTGTAATACTTTAAAAATAACAATCACACTTACAATATATTATATCTTAAACATGAAGCTTACTCAACTGTAATTAGTGTTGTTTGAGATAACCTCTTCATATTCACATTCCTGGAATGGGCTGAAAGTGCATTCAAAACACCGCCGAGGGAATGTGCAGAGATCATTCAAAAAGGAATCTTAAGATGCAAGATTTTCTTTAGGTTAGTCTGAAATACTGTTCTTTCAGTCTATCATACAACACTGTAAACAAATGGGGGACGGTATCCACTCAAACTTAAGCACAAGCCTCATTTTTAGGCAGTGAGTGAAATAATCCTACTTCAGAAAGCAGGCAGCTGGGATCTCCCTCTAGAAACCCTCAAAGGTATCTCCTTTTCTTTGACTACACAGGGAACACAGGAATTTAAACCACCAAAGCTGTTTCAAAAGACCTCCTACTGAGGTGCAAGACAGAGGCTGAGGACAGAAACCCGCTGCCTGTCTGTCTTTGAGCACGTACACACTACTGAGAACATTGGTAGGTGGTAGCGGGACAAGTGAAAAAGAGCTCCCGAGATACTCTGGTGGCTGGAAAACTTAATTAGGTGATGTAATATAAATGGGGGTAGGAAGGACTTCCAGGCTATTCTAAACCAATAAAGACAATCAATAAAGCACCTTGAAGTGAAGGAGATAATAGAAGGAAAACTGTCCCTCTTATCAGACTGTATTAATGGCTTGTATCTTTTATTAGCAATATAAAAACACCTTGTAAACTTACCCACTTCTTTGACTCTTGGTTTTTCCACATAGGTGGTGTTGGATGGAGAATCAGACAAACACAACAGAAGAGACAGTATGGCATAGTGTGTATCTGTCTTTAAAACACATTAAAAAAAAAAAATCAAGTCAGTAAGTGGCCTGAAAGATTTTGGTTAGGAGCAAACTCAGCCTGTTATCTGC